AAGCCGCTGGAGAGCTCCAGATCACCGGACCCACCTACCTGGTGACTCTTCCTTAATGAGAATACCTAGCTGTTGCAGGCAGCTACTCTGAGCTTAGGTCAGTTTCAAACAAAGCACGATGAGAATGTTCTGCAGCTCTCTGAGCTGATTTTTACCTGGGAGTACAGCTTTACTCTAGTGAAGATGACAACATTTCAGGTTTAGTAAATAAAATATAATCTCTGAATTGCCACTGCTCTTGAACGATTCACCCCAGGTAGAAATACATGACAGGCATGGCCAGCAGTAAATGCCTCTTCCTTGCCTGATGGAAAGCACCTTTCTCACTAGTGTGGTACAGCACTTTCAATACTTAAAAGCACCAAAAGAGAACTCTTAAGATTATGACCTATAAGTGATATGCTATGAGCCAGAAGATCTGGAACTCAGAGTTCAACTAAAAAGCAGATGTCTTATGGGTACATTCTCTGTAATGGCTTATTTTTCCTGTCTGCCTCTTACACATCTTTTCAAGACTGAGGTACCTACTTTGGTAAACCAGGACTTCCCGATTGGTTATCGCCAGTAGGTAATCTGTAGTATTATGCTACTGTTATCTATTTACCTGCCTGTTACTGCCGCTAATGTAGCTTCTCAGAAACTGAATTTTGTATGTACGTGCATATCTGTGTATACACACAGGATGTTTTTATAATTATTCCTAGTTCTTTATACTTTTTGGGACCAAGTGAGTGGATGGAGGAATGGATGGATGAAAAAGTAGGTCAATTTCAGTAAGTATTAGGGCAGAAGATGTAGTTAATAAGGATCAAGGTGTATAAGTGGTCTAAAGTCTAGGCCACCAGGGAAGTAAGTGACATTAAGAAGTTCTGTTCTCAATCCTGAGGCATAAGCTATTTTTTCTGCCTTATGTTCATTGTTCTTCTGATCAGTAATGAAGCTGAAATGGTTCTAATGGTCTGAAAAGCTTTGCTATATACCCCTAAATACTACTTAGGTGTTAAAATTCTCATGAATTCAGTGTGTTTTAGCAGAGAGGGGCATGGCACCTGTTTCTGTGGGATATGACCACCTCAGTAAGTGAGGTGTAAATATGGCCAGCACTCTGATGCAAATCTTCACTCTTTTCTCATTAAACTCTTTGAAAGTATTTTGATCTTGCTGCCTCTGAAAAGAATTTCCAGCAGACCCTAGATTTCCATTTCCTGGAGTTGTGATCTTATATGGGAGCTTATATTGTAGCCTCATATTTATAGATGGTAAACACAGTGCACAGAGCTTCACTTGGAAATATAACACAATATCCTAGGGAGGGCCACACAGTCTTTGGAAGAGGCTGCAGCGACATTATAATTTAAGGGAGGGTCCAGTCACACTTTTTAAGGGTCAAGAGAGTTTGGTGGGATTTGGAAAATTCTTCCTGACCTAAGACGAGTGATGGTGGAATCCTCTTTCCAGCCACATCTTAGGTTTCATTTCCACTAGCCTTCTTCAAAGTAATAGGTAACTCTCCAGAAACACGTACCAAGTGCTTAGTTCTGTGCTAAGCACTTCATCGGCATCAGTTTATCATGTGATGTAGATGTTATCATTCTCATGGTATGGATGAATGAATTGCCTTCAGAGAATTTACATAATTTGCCCAAGGTAACAACAATAAAAAAATAAAAGCCATCCTTACTTCTGTTAGACACCAGCCCCACAATTTGGTGGTACACTCTACCTGCCACCTCTGATTTAGTCCTCAAAAGAAGTTAATCTGACTGATGGAGTTAATACACATTTAATATTGGCCCCAGAATTATATTGTAGGTTAAAAATAACATTTTGAAAATATCCTTTGCCCATGGGTTGCCCAGTTGAGGGGGCCTGTGAATGGGTGTATTCCCACTGACTCTAAATGTCTTCTCATTTCCTTTGTGTGTGTATCTGTCTTCTTTCCTCGGCTGGGTTTCTAGTTCTGCCTACCTCTCACTTGTGCTTTCTTCATTTTTTGCCTCCCCTATAGTACAATTCAATAAATGTATATTCAATGATTCCTTTTATACTCAAACATTCCCAAGAAGGAAATCATTTTATTTAACTTGTTCATGTATTTATTTCTAGTGGTTCTTTTCGCTTGTGAAAAGAAATTAGAATCTTGAACTTGAAGAAATTGAAAACCACAGAGCCTGGCCTAAACTGATGATTGCATGCTCTGTAGCTTGTCAGTTACTACTCACCCTTGAGATAAATGATCCTAGAGATACTGGTCTTCAGAGTAGTATGGCTCAGACTTCATGCTACAACTTCGAATGTATGCTGTGGCCCTTAGAATCCTCCAGTGTCTCCTTTAGACTAGTGCATCAGTCTGTGTGGGAGTGATGGCTCAGATTTGCTCTGCATAGTCCTTTTAATGCAGTGAATGTGTTGAGGGCATATCTAATAATATGAGTTGACTAAGGGTGATTTTAAGTGTAGTAGACAATCAGGTGAAGATTCCCTCAGTTTTCTCTTCATCTTTATCCTTCAGATTCTGAGGATGGCCAAGGAAGAAATGTGGTGTGGCGAGCAAGAGTGTGTGTGTACCTGCTAGAACTATCAGCTTGATTTAAAACAAATATAAAGGAAATAATAGCCTTTATTTGGCCCTTAGTGAGTGTGAGGCACTGTTACGAGAATTCTCACAACCCTTTGTTGCATATGCCCTTGTTATAGTCATTTTAAAGATGAGGAGACTAAAGCATAAAGAATTTAAATAACTTATCTCAGTTCATGTAATTCCCAGATGTTTGGGGTTGGAATTTGCATTCATGCATGTGACAGCAGTATCTGTGATTTCTATCATGTGCTGGAGCTATTCTTTCTTAATTTCTTATGCAAAATAGTTCAATATGGACTTCATACACCTCGTACATTCTAATTTATATGGTTTGTAGAACTTCAGAATATCATTGAATGTTTATCATAGCTTTCAAATTTTAAACTTATTCAAATGAAATTATAGAAAGTTAATATTTTATTATCATTGGAAAAAAAGCTCTTCATTTGTATATTCATAGATGTTAAATTTCAAATAGCAGTGTTTTTTGAAAGTATTTAAAATTTCTCTTCGTGTTATTTAGTGCATTGTCATCTTGGGAAAAAATAAACTTGGCGCAATAAAAGTCCCCTAAATTGACTCCAAATTAGTTTTATCAACAAGAAATTCAAATAACTTTTGCTTGTACTCTACTTAAGAAAATATATTGCTATATTCATCATTAATGGCTATAATATTCCCAACAAAGAAAATGCAGGTGATGTTGGCTTGATGTGCAGTGGATTTTGTTCCTAGGATGTGGATAAAAACAAAAAAAACAAAAAATTATTCAAAATGAATGAATAGCCCCACCTGCCACAGAGCAGATGTACAAACTGGGAAGTATTGTGTGTGCCTCCATTGTCATCTTAGCTAATTCCTAGGTCCTAAAGCATTCAGTACGATTGGCTTTCACCAGTTCATAAATAGTAAGTAAATGGCTGGCTGGCTGGCTGGCTGGGATTCAGATTGACTTGTTCTCTGTTGTGTTCAGAATAAAGAAAGGAATTCAGAATATAAGAGAAATGGGCAACTGAAAGCCCCTACGTACACTTATCCTGTATTACAGAGGGTTATATAAAGAGTTCTTAACAATATTGATCCAAAGCTGTGGTCTCTTTATTCCTTGTATCTTGGTAGATTTTATAGAGCTATAATAAAAGGACCCTAAACTTTGGTTTCTTTAAGATGATGATCTCAGCAAATAGCCATTAACATATACCACATCCAGAGGCATCGTGCCAGATGTGGCCAGTCAGTGGGCAGACTGGGTCAGCACCACCTTTGACACTTACAGACAAAAATATTCCTGGACTTCTCCCCCGGAGATGCTGACATAGTAGGTCTGAATTTATGCCATTGAGTATATTCTCATAGACATTTTTGGTTAGGAATTGGCTTAGAAGTGTATTTTTCAACTAGGGCTGATATTTGGCAATGCCTGGAGTCATTTTTGGTTTCCAAAATTGGGAGGGTGTGTGTGTTACTGGCAACTCATGGGTGAAGGCCAGGAATGCTGCTCAATATCTTACAATACACAAGACTCTTGGACCAACAAAAAGAAACTATTCAATCTAAAATGTCAGTAGTGCCAAGGTTGAAGCGTGCTGGTCTAGAAAATAAAGATACATCCTTAGAGTCCGTAATAAGGGTGAGTAAAAGATTCACAAAAATATTATCCATTCATAATTGAATAAAGTAAATTTCATCAGCACAAAGAATCAAATACAATCTCATAAATGTTTTATCTTGAGATTATTAATTACTTCATGGTATGACTAGAGACGTCCTAGTTGAAAATGTATGTGAGAAACGTGGAAGAATTGTCTGCAGTTGGTAGAATATTTGTATTGGGATTTTCTGGATAGACTAGCTTGTAGTTGAAAAAAAAATGATTTAGAATTTCTCACTGACCCTGAAATGTTAGTAAGGAAGGTTACTTGTAGAGAGCAGAAATTCCTTTTTAAATACTGACTGTGAAATTAAAATAGGACCACTTCCATAAGTGCCACTTCAACAACTAAACAAAAAGATCAAATCTAGGAAAATTTTAAATGATTTTTTTGATGGTTTTGTCCTTTTTGGTCTTTATATTACTGTTTTACAGATTCTGTTTTTCTAGGTTTATATCTCCTCTAGAGATCAGATGCTCAAAGTAGGACATACAGTAAATTACTAAATGTTACTTTGGTTGCTGTCAATGCAGGATTTGTATTAATAATGAAACCAATTGAATTCTCAAAAACCTCTGCTGGCAACAATAAACATTTAATTTCCAGAGATGAATAAGGTTAGCTATGTAGAACACCTTTTGCAATCACCGTGATAACCAAATTCTTCAAATGTTGGGAAATTCTGCTATTTTGTCAAAAGAACCAGCAGCAGACTGATTTAATTAAAATAATAACAAAAGGATCCATGTTTGTTTCTGTTTTTTTAGCTGTCTCATGTGTCTCTGATAACAACCAGTCAGCAGAAATGACGGAATGCCTCAGGCAGACAAATGGCATGCCTTCCCTTGTGCAGGAGTGTACGGTCCCATGTCGTGATGACTGCACCTTCAGTGCTTGGTCCAAGTTTACACCTTGCTCCACGAATTGTGAAACAACTCGAAGTAGACGGCGACAGCTCACAGGTAGGGTGTGCCTCTCACTCTTTGTCTTCAGACAAGTGATGCTCTCCTGAACGTATCAAGTTCCAGAAGGGCAGGAAATTGTATCAGGTCTCTCCCTCTCCCCGTCCCTCCCTGCCATTATGCATCCTCTTTGCCTGTGATTGGTACCTACTACATAGTACATACTCAGTTAAATGCTTGTGAAACAAAGGAAAGATGTGAATCATTCTATAGCTCTAAAGTTCCTCTCTATACAGCTTTATAATCTTTATAGTCATAAATGGCAATATACCCACCAACTTTCTGGGAGTAGTTAATGGCAAATTATCCGGTGTCGTTTTCATGCCAGGATCTCAGCCAGCTTGGAAGCAGCCCCGGATTGGTAAATAACATTACAGGCAGATCTCATTCATGTCTTCATCTTTTACTATTACCTTTTAAGTAACTGGATATTTTAAAATTTTAGTAGGGGAAGGCAAAAAATTAATTGCATAAATAAATTCCATTTTGGTGATATATATTAATTAATGATTTTATTTACATCCTTGAAATTTAATGGAAATTAAAGCAATGAATAGTTTAATCAAGGTCCTAGAGCAATTGTGCCTATAATATGCAGATAATTGATGCAATAATATATCTTACTTCTTGTCTAAATAAATATGCCAGAACTTCTCTTCATTGTATGTTTTTTTCGTATAAGCAGAAAACTTAATTCAGGGAGTGAAGAACCCAAGGAAAGATGCCAAAATAACAATTGGGATAATAAAATTAGGGTTGACATTGAAGAATTAAGCACAGATGACATTTGTTCTCATGAGCAATTCGTGAGCTAATTCTCTTGTTTTCAAGACCCCTTTTGTTTGAATGCATTACATACAAGATTGTTTTAAATTTGACTCACTCTAATGGATTGACATAATCCGCGAGAGCCTTTAACAGGATTTCTGCACCCACATCAGGAGCCCATTTGTAAGTACAGGTGAAACATAATCACAAATGGAAATATCAAATAAAATATGTTATAGTTTGATCTCTCTTCTATAAAAATTTATTCATATATAATTTTATGCAATATTGCTTATGTTTCTCAGATAAAACAGATTTCTTATAGAGAAACAATATACTGGTATAGAATATATATGACAGGCATAATTCCAACTTCAGGCACAATTTAATGGAGCTTGGTTTATGTGTTCATACATAATGCTTCAAAGTCGTCATCCTAGCAACTCTCTTTGTATCTTTGAGATGAGAGAGAATTTCCTTCAGGAGGAAAGAAAATTTTTAATTGGTGGTGATACTTTGTACGTGCAAACTGAGAATGAAAAATACTGAAAATCCTAGGATATTTATTCATTTTACAACCAGTGCAGTTTGTGTTATGAATGGTCAAAAATGTAATGGATTGGACTTTTATTTAACATATACTTTCAATGTAAATGTTGGCAAACTGTTATACTTTTTTCTGCAAGCTCTATCCCAAGAATCACTCATGCTAAAGACTATTTAGAATTTCTTTTCTAGATTATTAACTGCTGTGCTTTTGCCTAGCTAATTGATCTTTGCATGTCTTAATATCTGATGACACCTAAACAACTGGCTGTTTTCATGAGATATAAGAGTTGTTTTAAAAAAAAGAATCAAATGAATTATCTAGTGCTGTTGATTGAAAGGAAAATGCACAGTGTGAGAGTTGTGAGTTAAGGTTTATGCAAGGTCTTACTGAGGACTCTAGACCTGGAGACAGCCTCTCAGATAGCTCTGCGGAACTGCTCCGAACAGGTATGGGGGAAGGCTAGTTTGCAATTTTGTTTTCGGGGAATACATGCGTTAGCATACATCTTGCTGAAAACTTACTGCTGGTCACAAAGAACAGGAATGATCAAGCTAATGATCGTGATGTTTTTCCGTGTGTGGGAAGATGCAAGAAGAGGGGGTAATTACACTTCTTCCTGAAATGCGCCTAATAAGCTAAGAGTGTTTATCTAAAGCACAGAGGATCCTGTTACTGTCTTTAATTTCCTCTGCCTGAAACACTGAGTTCACTGTCAGTCAGCCACTGCATTGAGTTAATCTTTGTAGGTTTGGGCGGAGAGTAAAATGCTCTTCACTCTTCATTGTTTGCAGTGTCATTGGTGGAAAAACAAGCAGTGAAAAATGTGTGCTTCTCAAGCTTTATTTGATGTGATACTAATGCTTGTGTTTTGATTTTCCCCATGTAATTTGGTAGTAAACTTAATAAGCGGTGTCTAACACGAATGATAGTGAAAGGCCTGGGCTTAGATTGCAAGGCAGTGTGACTCTCTCTTCAACACAGTCACACACAGGGCAACATACAGACATAAATACAAGCCTCCCATTGTACAGGGGGCCATCTAGGCTGTTTGTTTCTTTTTTCCATTTTTGTTAACCAGAGGTTTCAATTGAATGTCTGGGTGTTCTGTGTTGTACGTAAAGTAGATAATCACAGTTTTAGATTCAGTGATAATTAAAGCTGTTGTCTATACAGTACTGTAAATAATCAGCCCATCAAATAGGAGGTCTGTTATTCATAATTTTTTTTCAAAATAATTGGATAACTAATACCCATTAAATATTGTAGTTTTTTGTTTTGTTTTTGTGGAATCAGTTATAAATTTCTCTGATTTAAGGGGAAAAATATCTTTAGAGCTGTAGTAGGGTTTGATTTAAAAGAAATTTTAAAGTATTAGCTGGTTCTGAATCCAGAGTTTAATGCTGATTATGACTAGAATGTAATCAAAGCAAACGACTATTGGTAACTTGTTTCTTATTATGAGAACCATCTCTGCATTAACTGATTTGCTCAAATTCTTCTTCAAACAGCAATGCCATGTGATTAAGAAGGATATTACAAATACAGAGACAGTGTATATTTGTGCAGAATATTTGCTCTGCCAGTAACTTTTGATTACCCTGTACGTGGATGTTTTCTTTATTTCTTTCTACTCTCTTTTCTTTCTTCCTCCTTTTTCCTTCTTTCTTAAAAACTTTCCTCAATTAATCAAGGAACAATTTTTGCTTACCACTTATTGCTCTAGGCACTACAAGGGAATAGATAGACATGACCCTGATTTAAGAGCTTACAGGCTAATGGGAGATAAGAGTTTTGCTACAGAAGTCGCAGTACAGTGTAGTACCTGCTACAGTAGCTGTTACAGGGTGCTGTGTGAGTTTTTTTATTGCTTTTGTAACAAATTACCACAAATTTGGTGGCTTAAAACAACGTAGATTTATTATCTTAGATTTCTGAAGGTCTGAAGTCAGACATAAGTTTTACATGCCTATAAGCAAAAGGTTGGCAGGATAGCATTTTATTCCTGAAACTCTAGGGGAAAGGGTTTTCTTTTCCACCTTCCAGAGGCTACTTACATTCCTTGGCTCATGGCTCCCTTCCAAGTCCTGAAATTCAGTAACATTGCATCTGTTGGGTTGTTCTTTGCTGGTCATATTCCCTCTGACCCTCTACTGGAGGCCAGGAAATGTTCTCTGAATTTAAGATCCTGTGATTATGTTGGACCCACCCGAATAATCCAGAATAATCTCTTTACCCCAAAATCCATACTCTTAGTCACATCTACAAAGTTCTTTTTGCTGTCTAAAGTAGCACGTTCACCTGTTCCAGGGATTAGGATGTAAATATTGCTGGAAGGCCATTACTCTGCCTACCACAGGATACACAAGTACAGAAGAACACCGCTTCTAGGGCTGAGATGAAGAGTATGTTCAAGGATGACTTTCTGGAGGGACTAATCTCTTATTCTGGACCTAAAGGGCAAGCAGTCATTAGCTAGGCTATGGAGGGAGGATAGAACTGGTGAGTTTCTGGAGTAGAACATACAAAGGCCAGAAGTTAGATGAGTGGTTTCTAGGAGCTAAGAGATGCTAGTTTGTAACCTGCTAGAGGCAGAGTGGTGCAGCACAGGCAGGAGGCAGATACTAATAAGCCCAGATCCTTTGGAGCCTTGATGACCAGGCTGAGGAGTCTAGACTTCATTCCATGAACTGTAGTTTTAAATAGATGGGTGTTGTGATCAGACTTCCAACTTTGTAGGTTGGTCCTGGCCGCAGTGTGGGGAATAGATGGAAGGGAGGGAGGGGGTTGTGGTGGCAGTGACGTCTTGGAAGGAGCCATTGTAGTGATTTAAGCTGGGGATTTGCAGGTGGGCTAAATATGGGTGGTATCAGTCAGAGCGGATACAATGGGCTGATTCAGGAGATATTTAGGTATTTGAAATTATTTTTGTCATTAAAAGATAGAGATATGTTTCAAGTGTGACACTCCATTTTTTGACTTGGCCTATTGGTAGAACTGGGAAACACAGAAGGAGAGAGAAAAGTTGTGATATTCAGAAGGGTGGGTTTTGTCACATAGAGTTTGACTGGTCCTTTAGTGTAGTTTTCCAGTCTGGCTCAGAGCTTGAGTAAAAAAATCTGGGCTGAAGGTAATAATTAGGGATAGAAGGCATATAGACGATTACTTAAACTCTGTGTGTGGGTGGAACTGTAGGATCAGAAAACAGAATCTAGGGCAGTTCACTGAGGAAGCCCATCAGTTAAGAGAGGTAGGGAGCGAGATTGCAACAAGCAAATAAAGATGTGCCCAGAGAGATGGTGGGGGTGTGGGGTAGGGGCAAGGGACAAAAAGTTAAGGTATGATGAAACTTGGAAAGGTTATTTCAAGAATGACGGTGCAGTCAGTACTCAGAGCTATCACTGATCAAGTCTAAAAGATAAGAAAAGATAGTTCAGGGCTTGGTTTGTTTTATTATTTTGGTGAGAGTAAGTAGTTTAAAGGAATAGGTAGACTTAGAATCTAGGGTTGTATGTGTTGAGAGAGTAGAAATGGAAGAGATGGAGATAACAGTACCTTATGGGAATTCAGAAAGCACCAGAGACTTGGGCAGGTTAAATGCTGATAAGGAGCCATTCCCCACCCACTGGCAGATCTCTCAGCCGGTACATTCTCACAGCTGTGGTAGAAGCTGTGCCTCTCAAACTCACTCTCAGTAAGTGTCACTGATAGTAGAGGTAAGTGAATACCTCCTCCCAGCAGGACACTGGTGTGGCTGAGCGTTCACAAGGTCATTTCAGGTCCTGCAAGAATCCTTATTTATTGTGACCATAAGCATCACAGAAGACATAGAGCCAAGTGTCCAGGTGACCACTGTAGACTTGTGTGTAATGTAAACCATCTGCCAGTGAAAGTAGTCTATGCATCAGCTTGTATCCAGCATTTCCAAAACAGCCATAAAGACTGAAAATAGACTAATAAAGCCACCTTCTCTCCCTCCCCACCCCCACAATCAGAGCCAAGGCTCTAGCTAATGACCTACTAATGAGGAAACAAAGTAAAATTATTAGATCTAGGAAATCCTTTAAAAAAATCTAGAGAAACTATGTTAGTGGCTAAGTTGAGTCAAGTTGCAGGCTGTCTTGGAATCCACTGAACATGATTAGCAGGCACTCACAGCTTTGAAAAATGACTTCGTATTGTCATTAGTCAAAGTTAGTATTCCAGCAAAAAGGTCCATCAAAGTCAGTTGGCAAGGTAAGGTCATATTCTAAAATATTTGAGTTAAAAAGGTCGCTCGAAGTGGAGGGCATACCCTTTTTCTCAGATTAAATTATCCAACATGATGTGAGCATTTATTGCAATCTGTTGTTTCTGGCAGCATTTGTGAGCTGCCCAACAGCAGGAGCCAAAATAAGTTCCACTTTGCCCACCACCCCAAGTGACACCCAGCCTCACTCCAGGGCCATTGTCTGGGAGGATACCATTTTGTTCCTTGAATACATAAACTCTTCTTAAAAAGCTACATCAAAAAACACGGAAGGAGTTAATATTTACACTATTTTGTTGGTTTCCCTGGCGACCATTAATTTCAAGAAAATAGAGACAAGGTAATCAATCTGTTTTTATCAGTAAATCATAGGGAAATCGATAGTAAATAAATCAGCCAAGACCTTTTTCTAGTTGCTGAGCCACCATAGCAAACATCTTCTAAGAATTTTCTGCCAGTATTCAACATGAAACTTTTTTCCCAAATAAATTTAAATTTCACAGATGCTCTGGGAATTGCTTCCATTGTCCTAGGATTTACTTCCGTGTGGAAAAAAAGAGTGAAAAAAAACTTTATTACGAATTAATAGTCTAATAGCTTTTAAATACAATGTAAGTGACTTTTAACAAAACAGCAGATGTGAAATTAATACGTGAATGTCTCTTGTTGGAACAGGCAAAAGCAGGAAGAAGGAGAAATGTCAAGATGCTGACCTGTACCCTCTGGTGGAAACAGAACCATGTCCTTGTGATGTGTTTATATCTCAGCCTTATGGTAATTGGTCAGACTGCCTTCTTCCTGAAGGCAGAAGGGAGTCTCACAGAGGACTGCGGGTTCAAGGAGACAGCAAGGAATGTGGAAAAGGCGTGCGCTTCCGAGCAATAACCTGCTCTGATAAACATGGAAGGCTGGTTGACCCCGCCCACTGCAACAGCTCTGGTAAGGAGATGGGGAGGTTTGTCCCAGGTCTAGAATTAGTAGCTTTGTTTTTAGTAATGTTTCCCTTCTCCTCTGGCAAGAACACACTGCCTCTCATAAAATATGGGCATATAAAATGCACATAGCCATATCTCACTCTTCTCCGAGAAAGCCAAAGCCAACAAACAAATATATTTTATGCTTTATTGGTGCTCTGGTCATATATGTAGAAGGCATCAGGCCTTGGATTTCTTCTAAAGATGTGGACAGAATACCAAAGAAGTTTAATTTGAAGTGTTTTACAGTGCAGTGTGTAAGTACACCCAAAGTAATAGACTAGAACTGTAGAAAAGAAATTAGGCAATCTGGAAAAGTTTTTGAGATGTTAATCAGGGAGAAGACTGTCTTTCTGGGGGGGAAGGGATGGGGAACCTTGGGATGATTTAAAAGATATTGTTGAACAGAGAAAAGAATGATGGTTATATATGGTCGGGGTAAACACTGATGGAAGAGCCTAAGATTAATGATTACAATGCGGCTTATGAATTTCCTCCCCTATTTTTTGGTTTTTAATTACCTTTTTAAAAAAACTAAACAAGTTAGGGATTTTACAGAAGGTATGGATAGAGAGAATTGATGTTTGAGTGACAAACTCTTAAAAAAAAAAAGTAGATTTTGGTCTCTGTCATCAAGGTCTTGTATTCTAATAAGCTTTCTCAATAATGCCAGAAATGGCAAATTGAATTCAGTTTTAACACACAAGTCAACTAAATGATAGTTCATCTTTATTCTTTATTGCCAGTGTAACAGCTCGTCTTGCTTAGGATATATCTGGATCCTTATAGGAATGCAATTTAAGGCTTAATGATTTTTTAATTAGTACGGTTGTTGCTCTGCTTACTCGGTTAGTCTACAGAATTGTATTCAGTAATTTTACTTTCAGAAACATTAAACACATCATAAGCAGGTAGTGGACCCATTTTACAGAGGCCAAAGTTGGTCAACTCAAATCTTTTTTTCACCTTTAATGTACATACTAGTTTATTTTTAAAATTTTTGTCTTAAAATATATTTGACTTACAGCATTGCATACATTTAAGGTGTATGACTTGTTAATTCTGTACATTTGTAGGTTGTAATGTGATTGTGATTGTAGTGAAAATTATTACCTGTAACACTGTATAATTACCATTCCCTTTTAGTGGTTGGAATAATTCTAGTCTCTTAGCAAGTTTGATTATAACACAATATTGTTGTCCATATTCACTGTACTGTGCATTAGATCTCTAGGACTTATTTTCTGCTAATTCCAAATTTGTATCATTAAATAACTATCCTATCCCTGTCAGTCCCTTCACTCCCATCCCCTGGAAACCACTCTTACTCTGCTTTTATGAGTTTGGCTTTTTTAGATTCCATGTATGAGTATGATGTAACAGTGATATGAGTGATGAGTGAAATAACACAGTATTTGTCTTTCTCTGACTAATGTATCTCACTTCATATAATATCCTGAAGATCTTTCATATTTTCCCAAGTGGCAGAATGTCTTTTTCATGGCTAAATAATATTTCACCATGTATATACTCTATATCTTTATCCATTCATCTATTGATGGACACATAGATTGTTTTTATATCTTGGCTATTGTGAATAATGCAGCAGTAAACATGGGAATGCCTGCATCTCTTTGATACCTTGTTTTCACTTTTGGGGGATGTATACACAGAAGTAGAATTGTTGAATCATATGGTAGTTCTGTTTTTACTTTTTTGAGGAACCTGTGTATTTTACATAGTAGCCGCACCAATTTACATTTGACCAACAGTGTGCAGGGATTGCCTTTCTCTACACCCTCATCAATACTTGTTGTCTCTTGTCTTCTTGATGATTGCTATACTAACGGGGTCATAAGATAGCCCATGTGGTTTTGATTTGCATTTCCCTGATGATTGGTGGTGTTGAGAATCTTTCCATGCACTACTTGGCCTTTTGGATGTTTTCTTCAGAAAGTCTATTTTGGTCCTCTGCTTAGTGTTTAATTGGATTGTTTGTTTTTTGTTATTGAGTTGTATACATTCTTTATATAGCTTGGATATTAATCTCTTGTCTAATATATGGTTTGCAAAAGTTTTCTCCCATTCTAGAGGTTGCTTTTTCACTTTGTTAGTTGTTTCTGTTGCTGTGCAAAATCTTAAGTTTGATGTGATTCTATTTGTCAATTTTTACTTTTATCATTTATGTTTTTGGTGTCATATCCAAAAAGTCATTGCCAAGACCATTGGTTTTTTGCTGTTGTTTGTTTGTTTTGTTAATAGTCTTCCTTATTTTTTAATTGAAGTATAGTCAGTTTACAGTGTATCAATTTCTGGTGTACACCATAATGCTTCAGTCATACATGCACATACATGTATTTGTTTTCATATTCTTTTTGACCATAAGTTACAAGATATTGAATATAGTCCCCTGTGCTATACAGTATAAACTTGTTGTTTATCTATTTTATATATATTAGTGTCTGCAAATCTTAAACTCCTAATTTATCCCTTCGTACCCTTTTCTCCCCCTGTTAACCGTAAGTTTGTTTTTTATGTCTGTGAGTCTGTTTCTGTTTTGCAAATAAGTTTGTCTTTTTTTTTAAGATTCCACATATAAGTAATATCATATGGTATTTTTCTTTCTCTTTCCTGGCTTATTTCACTTAGAATGACAATCTGCAGGTTTATCCATGTTGCTGCAAATGGCATTATTTTATTATTAATGGCTGAGCAGTATTCCATTATATAAATCTATCACAGCTTCTTTATCCAGTCATTGTTGATGGACATTTAGGTTGTTTCTGTGTGTTGGCTATTGTAAATAGTGCTGCTATGAACATTGGGGTGCATGTATCTTTTTGAATTAAGGTTCCCTCTGGATATATGCCCTGGAGTGGGACTGCTGGATAATATGGTAAATCTATTTTTAGTCTTTTGAGGAATCTCCATACTGTTTTCCCTAATGGCTGCACCAAACTACATTCCCACAAACAGTGTAGGAGGGCTCCATTTTCTCCACAGCCTCTCCAGCATTCATCGTTTGTGGACTTTTGAATGATGGCCATTCTGACTGGTGTGAGATAGTCTCATTGTAGTTTTGATTTGCATTTCTCTAATAATTAGTTATATTGAGCATTTTTTCATGTGCCTATTGGCCATTTGTTTGTCTTCCTTGGAGAATTGCATGTTTAGATCTTCTGCCCATTTTTTGTGTTGGGTTGTTTGTTTTTAAGTTGTATGAGCTGCTTATATATTCTGGAAATTAAGCTCTAGACAAGTCTCATCTTCTGCAAATATTTTCTCCCATTCCATATGTTGTCTTTTTGTTTTACTTATGGTTTCCTTTGCTCTGCAAAAGCTCATAAGTTTAATTAGGTCCTATTTGTTTGTTTTTGCTTTTGTTTCTATTGCCTGGGTAGACTGCCCTAGGAGAGCATTGCTAAGATTTATGTCAGGTAATGTTTTGGCCTATGTTTTCTTCTAAGAGGTTTATAGTGTCTTGTCTTATGTTTAAGTCTTTAAGCCATTTTGAGTTTGTGTGTGTGTGTGTGTGTGTATGGGGGTGAGGGAGTATTCTAACTTCATTAATTTCCACGCAGCTCTCCAGTTTTCCCAGCACCATTTGGTGAAGAGACTGTCTTTACTCCATTGTATGTTCATGCCTCCTTTGTATTAAAAAAAAAAACAACTGACCAAAAGTCTGTGAGTTTATTTCTGGGCTATTCTGTTCCATTGATCCGTATGTCTGTTTTTGTACCAATACTATTCTGTTCTGATTACTGTAGCTCTGTAGTATTGTCTGAAGTGTGGGGGGGGGATTATTCCTCCAGCTTCATTCTTTTTCTTCAGTATTGCTTTGGCAATTCTGGGTCTTTTGTGATTTCATTTAAATTTTAGCATGATTTGTTCTAGTTCTGTGAAAAATGTCCTGAGTAACTTGATAGGGATCACATTAAATCTGTAGATTCCTTTGGGTATTATGGCTATTTTAACAATATTAATTTTTCTAATCCAAGATAACTGTTGAACAGCTTCTTTTCTGCATTTCCTTCTAGCAGTTTTATGGTATCAGGTCTTGTGTTTGGGCTTTGTCCCTTTCAAGTTAATTTTCGTGAGTAGGGTAAGATAGGGATTCAATTTAATTATTCTATAAGTGTTTATGCAGCTTTCCGAGTACCATTTGTTGGAAAGACTATCATTTCCCCATCAGGTGGTCCCTGGCTCCTTAACTAATATTAAACAAATATTAGTTGACTGAATGTGTTGGAGTTTACTTCTGAATTCTCTAATCTGTTCCATTTGTCTATTTTTATGCTAGTACCATACTTGAAGTACTATAGCTTTATAATGCAGTGTAAAATCGGAAAATGTGATACCTGCAGCTTTGTTCTTTCTCAGGATTTCTTTATCTATTTAGCTAAATATGTATTCCATACAAATTTTAGCATTTGTTTTTTCTATTTCTGTGAAGAATGCCATTGGAACTTTGATAGACATTGTGTTGAGTCTGCAGATGGCTTTGGGTGATATGGACATTTTAACAATATAAATCCTTTGTATCCATGAATACAAGATATCTTTCCATTTGTTATGTCTTCTTTAACTTCTTTCAGTGAAGTCTTGTGGTTTTCATTGTACAGATCTTTCACTTCCTTGGTTAAATTTATCCTTAGGTATTTTATTGATTTTGATGCTATTGTGAATGGGATAGTTTTCTTTATTTTTTCAGATGTTTCATTACTAGTGAGTAGAAGTACAACTGATTTCTTTTTGTTGATTTTATATCCTTAAACTTTACTGAAATCATTGATTAGTTCCAACAGTTTTTTGGTTAAATCTTTGGGATTTTCTGTATACAAAACCATATCATCTGCAAGTAGAGAGTTTTGCTTCTTCCATCCTAACTTGGATGTATTTTATTGCCTTGTCTTGCCTAATTTCTCTAGCTAGGACTTCTAATGCTGTGTTAAATAAGAGTGGTGA